CAGTAGCCTTTTGTTTCATAGAAGCCTGGGAAGCTTAAGAAGCTGGGCCATGCATTCCATACTGCTCACGTTCCCCACACAATCGCTGACGACAAAGTGGTGCATAAGCAAATGTGGTGAAGAAAGCTGATGGTGCCCGGCTATCAAAAGATATAGGGTCTGGGGTCTTAAAGGCTTGAAGTAAACAAGCAGCCATCTAGCTCAGAGGCAACAATGCGCACATGGAAGAAGCACACCAGCCTTTGTGATCACTAGGTGTCAATAGGATCAAGCATCAGTATCAAAGAACAAAAAATCTTATCAGTATGAATGAGGGGGAGTGTGAAGTGGAGACCCAGAGCCCATCTGTAGACAACTGGACATCCCTTTACAGAAGGGTCACAAGGAAGAGACGAGCCAGTCAGGGTGCAGTACAGTACCGATGAAACATACAACTTTCCTCTAGTTCGTTAATGCATCCTCCCCCTCTATCATGATCTCAATTCTACCTTACAAATCTGGCTAGACCAGAGCATGTACACTGGTACAGATCAGAGCTGGAAACACAGGGAATCCAGGATGGATAAACCCCTCAGAACCAACAATGAGAGTAGAGATACCAAGAGGGGAAGGGGAAGGTGGGGGAGAAAGAGGAACCAACCAATCACAAGGATCTACATATAACCCCCTCCCTGGGGGACGGACAACAGAAAAGTGGGTGAAGGGAGACATTGAACAGTGTAAGACATGACAAAATAATAATTTAGAAGTTATCAAGGGTTCCTGAGGGAGGGAAAATATGAGGAGCTGATACCAAGGGCTCAAGTAGAAAGAAAATGTTTTGAGAATGATGATGGCAACAAATGTACAAATGTGCTTGACCCAATGGATGGATGGATGCCTTGTGATAAAAGTTGTACGAGCCCCCAACAAATTGATTTTAAAAAAAAAAAAAAAAAAAAACGGAAGAAACTGTGCCATGGAGTGGATTTCCGACAGCGACGAACGGAGTAGCATGGGAGTAGATCTGTCCCGCAGGATGTCCTGGGCCGGATCTTTATGGAAGCAGATCGCCAGGCCTTTCCGATCAGGCGCCATTGGATTGTTTCCCAGGCAAACCTTCCTCTTAGCAGCAGAACAGTAACCACTGTGCCCGGGGCTCCCTGGGAAGTGTGACCTGCCTGGAGCAACCTGCAGTGTGTCCTTTGTCCTCATTGTCCCCATCGGAGGTGCTGGTCAGCCTCCACAGAGTTACCGCCCACTCACAGTGACCATCTGGGCAGCAGAAGGAAACACTGCCCCATCCTTGGCACGTTTGAGCCACCTCCTCGCAGCCCCGGTGTCAAGCCATTCCGTTCAGGGCGGCTTCTTTGCCCTCTCCCCTCTACTTTACCAAGCACGGGGCCCTGCTGATAAGGACCCAGACTCCAGCAGCCCCCAGTCTTGTTAGCCTTCCCTGAGAGGGGGAGCTGAGGGCCACAGAGGAGACAAAGTCAGCTCCAGGTCACAGAGGTAGCCCGAGGACAACAAGAGCCAGGCTGGGAGGGGGCGGGTAACCTGGTTCCTTCTCCTCCTTCACCATGGATGTCCCCTCCTCAGATCTCCTCAGGCCTTGGGCCATGTCCTCCATGGACCCCTGGAGGGACAGAATGGGGAGGGAAAGATTTCGAGGCCCGTTTGGCCCCTGCTGGCAGTCGGGGCTGCTTCCCAGAAGACAGATGTTTCACCAACTGGTAAATGCACGTGCTTTTCCCTGGCTTGGGGAGAAGGTGGGCGCTGAAGAGGAGATGCCAGCTGGTTGGGCAGAGAGAACCGCAGCCACACCTGAGAGATTTAAATAGCCACCGCCTTCTCCGGGCACCGCGGGAGGGAGGCATCTGGGCAGAGAAGGAACACAGGAGCCTGTTCCAAACCGGCCACTGTTCTGGAATGACCGCCTGGTTCCTCCTCCCCCCAGAGGGCCCCGGGCCCCTCACCTCCCTGGATGGCAATGCTTACCAGCTGGGCTGCCTAGCCTGGTCAGAGAGAGCCTGAGT